CAGGGCAACACCAACAGCATAACCCAAATGTAGCTCTCTCTTGTGAATGGCGCCAGGCGCCCTATCTACTCTACAGCCTATCCTACAACTACAGCAATGAACAGCAACCAGACARCTTGACTACCAGCGAATGATGATGTCAACACCAATGCCGTATTCCACCATCACCAGGTACGTGTCATCTTCCCCACACTCTCCCTTGTTACCCACACAGCGCCCTTCACCTCCGAAGTACCACCTTCGCCCTCACCTCCCCTGCACCCTCTTGCGGCCCAGGCTATGGCCGCCAGTGCCCTTCAGTGCAGGCAGCGCCCTACCGCCTAGCGCTGGCCTGCTTGCTCTTAGCGCAGCACTGCCTTGCACAGCGCAGCACACATGCATCCRCGCAGCGTGCCCGCATGTGCCAGCATTGGCCAAGATCCCCGCTGCCTCGCCCTGCTTGCCTATATGCCAGTGCAGTGTGTGGGCGGCCTCCCTTCAGCCTGTGACCGGGGCCCAGAGGCTGAAGCCAACTCGATACAGTTGGGCCCCGGGGTAAGGCAGTTGCGCCTCCTTCATCAAGGCCTGCGGCCAGATTCAGACAGTGGGCCGATTTCCCTTTGGCATTTTCAGCCTCTCTTCCCAGCATGCATTGTCGGCCTCACGTTCAGATGCCCAGGGCATAACCAACTCAGAGGCCCTGGGCTTTCAGCATTTGCTGAAATCCGAGACTCGGTGCACTCCAACCAACTGGCGTGCTGCAACTGTATGGACCCCACTTCGTGAAATGTTGCACAGAGGGCTCTTGTCGATTTGCTGGCCCACCTTCACTTAGGGCGGGCACTAGGCTTGCTGGGGCCTTAGCCCAGAACATGTACATCATGGCAAGGCCCCTACTTGAGGGCTCAATTCCTCACACCTGCTGCTACCTGTCGCCAAGTCCCACTTACCCTTATCCTTCGTTTTTGACCCCAGGTTGCAGAGACCGATACTCAGAAATGAAGAATTTCTGCAAGTGGGGCTTGGCTCCTGCAGGCCCATTTTTTTTTGGTTCTCGTCCTGTACCGCTAGTCATTCTTCTTCTTTTTTTCTTTTGTTATTTACTTTTTTTTTTTTTCTTTTTTTTCTTTTTGAAGAATGTGAGATTGGTCACTGTCCCTTGTTTTTTTTTGTTTCTTTTACCGCTGTCATGGTATGGAAATGATATGGCGGGGGAAATGTTGGTTTATCGGAACTTTATCCTCTTTGTTTTTTTTTTTGGGCTGTGGTGCTGCTCCTGTTTGTCTGCTGTGGACAGAGATTGGTGGGCGACCTGCTCAGAAAAGCTGTCTGGGAGTTAGTGGAGGTATTCTATGTAACCAAGAGTTCAAACTCGATGGTGGGAGAAAGGTTGGCAGAATGGCTTAAGGTAGGTGGTTTCCCTCTCTCTCTCTCCCTCTCTCTCTCTCTCTTTCCCTAAGAGAAAGGGGGACTTTTAGGTAGCAAAGACATGCACAAGTCCGTGGCTGAACATGGTCAAACTTCATTGCCAGGTTCAGAGTTCTGGAAAACACCACACCGAATTTTTAGGGCAAAAATCAGGAGCTCTTTAGCACAACTCTTCTGGGGTGAATTCACTTGCGAGGTTGAGGAAATTTCATCGAAGTCTCAATGAGATTGCATGGAGTTACAAGCCGGATGCGGGGCTTAACTCGGCTGTTACGAAACTTGTCTGAACCGTTTGTTTTTTTGGTCTAATTTTTGCAACTGGTTTTGCTTTTTGTCAAGTTTTTGCAATTGGGTTTTGTTATGGTCAAATCTTTGGAATTTTGTTCTGGTTTGGTAAATTTGCACAATTGGGTTTTGCAATTGGTTTTGTCTTGGTCAAATTTTTGCAGTCGGGTTTTGTGTTGGTTAAATTTTTGCAGTTGGGTTTTGTGTTGGTTAAATTTTTGCAGTTGGGTTTTGTGTTTGTTAATTTTTTGCAATTGATTCTTTCGTTTTTTTGTTTGTTCTTTTGATTGTCGATGATGAAACTCCTTGGGTGGGGTGGTATTGCGCACCTGATCCGAACCTTGACTCATCTGTTCCGAGGCTGATCCGAACTTAAGCTAGCTGTTATGCCAATCATTGGGTTTCTCTATAAGAATAGAGGAAGAGGTGGAGGGGGAGCAAGAAGAAGAAGAAGAAGAAGAAGAGGAGGAGGAGGAGGAGCAAGAAGAAGACGATGAAGAAGAAGAGGAAGAGTAAGAGGAGGACGAGGAGGAGGAGGAGGAGGAAGAGGAAGAAGACGAGGAGGGGAAGGCGGTGAAGCACTAACAAGATGGAGGAGGAGAAGAAGAAGAAGACGAAGACGAAGAATAAGCATATATTTATATATTCGGGGAGGGGGGGCGGAGGGTAATGCAGGCAGGAGGTAGTGTGTAACTTGATTGCCCTTAATAAGTTTTATATGTATATATGTCTGGTCTGCAGAACAGAACACTTAACTCGATTGCCCTTTTTTATATGTAATGTCTGGTCCTGCAGAACAGTATCGACATACTTGTACCAGGTGAGGTGTCAGCGCAGGCGAAGTTGGAAGCCATCCAGACCTCTTTAAAGGAAGAGTGGCAGGTATAGTGATGCTCAGACTCTTCTTCTCCCTCCCTCCACCTTCTCCTCCAACTTAGATTGTATTGACCGGGGAAAGAAAAATAAAGCCAAATAAAAAAACATAACGTGTATATTGTACAAAAAAAAACACACTATATTCTGTCTGTGGAAAATCTTTCTGATAATCAGTGTATCACAGCTGGCAGATTGTGAAATGCGTATCTTCCCCTGAACGCAACACACCGTGGTCGCGACTGTATCGGGCCAGAAAGGCAGCTTGTATACACGACCCAACATACCCTTGTCATGACTGTATAGGATTGGAGAGAGAGCTTGCCCACATTTGTGATCGGCACCTGTTCCGTTTAGGATGGAGAAGATGTCTTCTCGTCTTTTTTTTTCCCCGAATTTGAAAATTAATCGTTGTGAGAGGCACTACTCCAAAAGAGAACAAGAGGCTTCCCTGCAATTCACAGGGCGTGCGGAAATAGTGGGGGTAATGAAGGCAGAAGCCCTTTGGATTCAAGCGTGCATGTACCACCAAAAATGTAGGACCCTTCCTTTTCTGTTTACAGTGCCCAAGGAGGCGGTGGGTGGGGGGTGGGGGGAAGGGGTGGGGGGAGGATTTACTGGGGCACGCCTGCAAATTCAGGGCTTTTCTTCTGCCAACATATATTATGTGTGCTCATGTATATTGAGAGACATTGGTGGCCATTGCCCCAAAGTGTGGGGCAATGCAATTGAAGAAAAACGGACTCCTTTTTTGACTCTAATTAACTCTAAATAACGACAAAATGATTATGTTTGAATTTCAATTGTTGTTATTTCAACTTATTTGTGTTTCTTTGAAGGTGGCTACCTACCGCCTTCACCCGAATAGAACGCCCGGTCATCATAGCGGCATTTAGGGCAAGTTTCGGTCTAGGTACACAGCACTAATGACCAGGCATTCTATTAGGGTGAAGACTGTCGCTGTGACAAAGGTTGCTTGTTTGCTAATCCTATTAAAAAAGGGAAAAAAAAGAAAACGAAAAGGTTACTAAGTTATACTAATCCTTGCTGTTGCTGTCTGTATCCCAATTCCCGACCATGTTGCCGTTATGTGTTCCGATTCCCGACCATGTTGTTGTTACGCGTCCCAATTCCTGACCATGTTGTCCTTATGTGTCCCAATTCCCGACCATCGTTATGCGCCCCGATTCCCGACCATGTTGTCGTTATGTGTCCAACCCGACCATATTATTGTTATGTGTGTGCAGAGATTACCGGAAGACAATCCAGAGTACTGGACATCTATTGCATCTGCAGTTGCGGTTGGCTGGCTGCCTGAGGCGGTGCGTTGTCTTTTTTTTTTTTTTTTTTTTTTTCCCCCTTTGTGAAGTATGCTTTTTGTTATTTGGTTTATAGTACTTTATACCAGGGCTGGCCTGCAACCGGCCGGTCGAGCTGGCCCGGTCCAACCGGGGCCGGACCGGGCCAGGGGGGGTCAACCAGCAAACCGGACGGCCCAAAAAAATGCCCTATTTTATTTTTTTCTTTGCGGGATCCGACTGTGCTTACGGAGATCTGTTGGATTCCGCAATAAAACTTTGAATGTTGGATTTTTTTTTTGGGGGGTGTGCCGGGAGAGAGGGGCGGGGTGGTCGAGGTCGAGAGTGGTAAGGGGGGTGTTACGTTCAGGGTTTGTAGGACTGCAAACAACATCATGCATACAAAATGGAAGTGAAGCCAGACAATACTATGAGGCAGAAGATTGTGAAGAACGGAAGGGTAAAGAAAAAGAAGAAGAATAGCAGAAGAAGAAAAGAGGGAAGGAGGAGGAGGAGAAGAAGAAGTAGAAGAAGAAGAAGAAGAAGTAGAAGAAGAAGAAGAAGAAGAAGAAGAAGAAGAACGGAAAGATGAGACTCATGACAGGAAATTAAATAAAGATGAAGATCTGCAGCAGTTTGTCATGTTCACAATGGAACTCTCTCTCTCTCTCTCACACACACATTTGGAATCCCCTTCACTAATCTCATCGTCGGGCGACTCTGGACCGCCGCCATCTGAGTCGGGGTCATCCTCCGAGGCTTGCACTTCGCGGGGCCTGCCACGACCACGTTCCGACTTTGGTGCAGCTTTGTGGCCCATCTTCTCCTTGCGGGCCCTCAAGCGGCGGGAACGTGGTGTGGGGACTTCATGCACCGGAGCCTTCCTCTTAAAGATGAAGATCTGCAGCAGTTTGTCATGTTCACAATGGAACTCTCTCTCTCTCACACACACACATTTGGAATCCCCTTCACTAATCTCATCGTTGGGCGACTCTGCACCACCGCCATCTGAGTCGGGGTCATCCTCCGAGACTTGCACTTCGCGGGGCCTGCCACGACCACGTTCCGACTTTGGTGCAACTTTGTGGCCCATCTTCTCCTTGCGGGCCCTCCCGCGGCAGGGATGTGGTGTGGGGACTTCATTCACCGGAGCCTTCCTCTTTCGCCCCGTCCTGCTTTTCCAGATGTTGTCGTGTTGGGCATCCTCATTCTGTGCTGGGTACGGGGTCTGCCCGAGTGGACCGCTGCTCCTCTCATCGTTGATCCGAGATTTCTGGCTGCTCCGCAGCCACAGGCTGCTGGTGCTCACGCGGCTCTTGCGGTGCAGGCTGCTGCAGTGCCGTTGGGCGGGGTCTTCGTGCGTGAACCGTTGGTGGTACTGGTTGCTCCAGTTCCTCCCCGTCTTGCTGCTGAGTTTTTTCCGCATCCTCCTTCATATCACCCCCCTCTCGTGGCAAACTTTTTTCTCCTTGCTGCACATATTTTTCCTCCAGGTGCTTCAATATCCACTCCCGCATGCTGCAAACTCCCTTCATGTTCTGCACGCATGGCAGCCTCATCTACCTCCATGTTGTCCACCCTTTCATCCTTTTCATCACTATGCTGCTCCTCATGTTGGCTGACCTGTTTGCTCCGTCTCTCTCTCCCTCTGGGTGGGGACAGAAGCACAGCGAGCCTCCTCCTCACACATCCGCCTCTGAACCAAAGCGGCATCCCTATCTGGCATAGCCTTGGCCCGAGCTGCTTCCTCCTCTCTGCATCAGGTGTAGGGTGCACCAAGAACTCGATATCAGTGTCCAGTCTGTTGATGGCCTCGGAAGGCAACACCTCTGCCTCCTTCTCTCGCCCCCTGAGCCTCTGACCGACGTACATAGTGGCTGGCACCGCCGACTTGCCCCCCAACTCGAAATCTGAGTCCTCCCCAATGTCATCCTCACTGTCACTCTCCTCGGAAGTGGACTCGTTCCAACACTTCCCCTTCCACACGAGATCCTCAAGATCGCTGCTCCCACTTGAGTCGTCATCCAACAGGCTCTTCGGAATCCGGTCTTTTGGAGTCTTCTTCAGTCTCTTTAGCCTCTTTTCCTCCTCGATATTGTCCGCTGTCTCATCCTCCATGGCGTCCTCGACAGCTCCATCTTTCGCTGCTGGCTCCATCAATGGCTCGAAGAAGGATCCCCACACATTGACGTAGCCATTGTCCTTGCTATTTGGAACGCGCAGCAACTGCATGTTCCAGTGAATGTAAACCAGCTTCTCCAAGGACTCTGGCGAGAGACTGTTTCTGCGCTTCGAATGGACAAAGTCCATCAATGCCCAGTTCCGCTCCGCGGGTGTCGCCGTGCTCCACATTCCCAACACGTTGATGACGATCTGCTGCAAATGTGGAACATCCCCACCGTACAACGTCCACCAGTCCGCAGGCGTACATCACGTTGCTTGCTTGATGGCAACTGGTGTCCAGATGTGTTCATCTGTCCTGACTTCCCCTTCCACAGGCTCTCTAAAAAACTCGTACAGATGATCCCAAATGTCCATGTGCGGCTTCGAATCCCACTCCGCTCCGATCTGCCTGCAGAAGAAGCGCATTGCGTTTTGCACGAGGGCACTGTCCGGATCGTTGAGCCAGCCCGGGTCTCTCCTCCGTGGATCCAACAAAAACGCAACTGCATGAACGGGCTGCCGCATCATCTGCACACGGTCCTTGACCTTGTCCATCACATCCTCCCTCTCCTTCTTCGTGAGTACAATGTTTGCTAATTTCCTCGCAATGAGATCGTTGAACTCCGAGAGATGCACGAGGTTGGTGGGAGAAACTCCTTCCTTGTCCATCTTCTTGAGGAGGCTGTACACCGGCTCCATAATTGCCACAATTTTCCTGACTATGGCCCACCAACTCTCTGACCTCACAATGTAGTAGACAAGGTCGACTTTTTTCTGCAGCTTCTCTCCCGACCATCTCAATGCCCGCCACTTCGCTGCACAACCTCCGTCCACCATCTCATTCAACACTTCCTTCCTGTTTGCCAGCCTCTGCAGCATCTGGTAGACCGGCCCAAAGCGGACCTCTGTCGGGTGCAGCAATGACAACGAGTCATCGATGGACATCATGAGACTGTGCGTGGCATGATGGTTCCTGATGACGTGTTCGCCGTCTTCACTGTGTCCTTCACCCAAGGCAAACTGCTGAGGTCCTTCTCAACAGACTGCAGCAATGCGCTCCAAATGGCACCCACGGTATCCTTGCAACGTCTTTGTCGGTCCGCCTCTCCAAGATCTGCCCTGCCTTCTTGTTGACCTCAGCGTTGTCTGTGCAGATCGCGTTGATCCGTTTGAGCCCGATCTCCTGCATCACCTTCTCCCACAACTTTGCCAATGCTGCTGCGTTTTTCTTCCTCCCAGTCATGTAAACCGTGGACACTTGAACTGCTCCTTTCTCCCCCGCTGCTAGGAAATTCATGACTGGACGGTTCTTCCGATCTGTCGATCCGTCTGTGATGAATGTGCAGCCGGTTTTGTCCCAACAAGCAGTCAAGGGGTTGATTGACTTCTGGACCTTCAGGAAGATGTAGTCCAACATGACAGTCCGCATATGCTTGTAGGTAGGCATTTTCACCTTCGACTTTGCATTGGCAACCTCCAAGTAAGCATCGTGAAGAGCCTGCGCGGTGTCGAAGTTCAAGAAGTTGAAAGCAATTCCAGCCCTGAACATTGCTTCTGCCCACGCAATGTCCAACTTCTTTTGTGCGTCGTTGTCAATCCACTTTCTTATTGCGGTCTGCGTCTTCGCCAGCACAGCACGGGCCGCCCCTCCACCGGTGCCATCATCACCCTTCACTGCAGCTTCGTCATCTGTTGTTGCGATCGGTGCAACAAATTGTGGAACAGACCGCCCTCGAACAGGCGGAGACACCGGCCAAGACGAAGGATCATCCGCATCTGATGCATCCTCCGCAGCCTCCTCGCCCCCCTCTGCGCCCCTGGCGAGTCCTCTGAAGTTTCACAGCAAGTACCGGGTGTTCTTGTCTTTGGGGTTGACCTTGCCTCATTGAATAATAAACTCATCCACAAACTCCCCCGTTCGAAAAGGACACAGTTTCTGCACTTTCAAGAAACGCTCCACTACCTTTGTTGATGAGCCCCTGAACACCCTGGAACAAAGGTGTTACATGCAGCGCGTGCACACACGGGCCATTTTGCAGGCTCGACTGGATTCAGGCCGAAAGCCTGAAATTCAGGGCTTACAGGCCCCATTCCGGTTCAGGCCGAAAGCCTGACTTTCAGGGCCTACAGCCCCTGCGACGGTTCAGACTAAAAATGGTAATAGAATTTTTAGCCTGAACCCAAGGGCCATTTTCGGTCGTTCATCAGAACGACCGGCCCTGAAACTCAGGCACCGAACCAGGGTTTGGGAACAGCCTATATTTAGACTGTTCCCACGCCTTCCTCAAGCAGGCTGCTGCACGCCAGCCCCTGGCACACTTCGGCATTGGCAAGAGCTGCCTCCTCGGCCTGCTCGCCCTCCTGCAGTCAGGAGGCAGGCCGAGGAAGTACTAAGGGACTTCCCAGGCACTTCATGGGTAGGCAGTTCGGCAGTTGTAGTCTTCAGGATTCGGGAGCAGCACTCTGGAGGGAGCACTGCAGTGTAGAGTAGTAGCGTTAGCTTGTAGTCTTCAGCGCTGGGCGCAATAGGTAGCTGTAGTCTCCAGCGCTGGGCGCCATAGCTAGTTAGTAATAGAGAGAGAGAGAGAGGGCTTGGGCGGAGACCAGAGGCACCTACCTGCAGCGCCGTTGCTCCAGCTTCGTCTTCGAGGTACCTGCAGCACAGCGCCAACATCACTGGTTAGTACTTGGTTCGCTACACACACAGAGAGAGAGAGAGAGAGAGAGAGAGAGAGAGAGAGAGAGAGAGAGAGAGAGAGAGAGAGAGAGAGAGAGAGAGAG